TTCTCGGCGCCCCCGGACTCGTGCGGGGCCAGGAGAGCGCTGGGCTTCCAGCAGGAAAAGTGACATCACCGCCTGCTCCGAGCTAGGAATCCTGCCCTGTATGAGGCCCAGGGGCCTCGGTCGTGGAGGGGGACCGAGCGCGGTGGCCGCGTCCGACACCGACCGCACTAAACGCAATTATTTATCGTTACTTTCAGGAGCCCAACAACGAGAAAACCAACAACGGCATCCACTATAAACTCCAGCTGCTGTACAGCAACGGTAAGTGGCTGTCGCTGCTGCTGCTGCTGCTTTCCTGCCCCTGCCGGGCAGGCTCGCCTTTCCCGAGATGGTTAAAGGACATAAAGATTTTGAGATTAAAATGACATGGATGTAAACACAAAATCTTCTCATGGCATAGAAGAAAACAAAACATAAACGATCAATAAGTCGATGGCACTTCACATGATTAACCGGTGGGGCTTGGAGTAGAAAGTAAAAGGGGATCGATATGTGCTCCAGCTGAACATCACTTTTAAGTGACTTTTTTCAATTTTGCAAATTAATGTTAATTATTGAGATGGGGTAGCTGCGTAAACCGAGCATAACTTACTTCCTGGGCATGAGTTTTTAAAAAATCCTCGAGAGACGTTAGAAAGAGTTCAGACTGTTTGCATTTCTTGCTTTCTGTTTTCTAAAAATAAATGACCACATGGGCCCCCCGCCTGTAGCAACCAGGCCTGCTCTCAGCCACGCACATTTCTCGCACTTTTCAAAGCAAACCCTGAGAGTCTTAGGGTTCTTAATTGAGAAAAGGAAAAAAGAAAGCAAGCCAGAGCCGACTGGAGTTTTCTGTCTTGCCTTTCGAAGGGCATGCCTCAGTTCCGCCGCATCATGAGGCAGCAGTCCCTCAGCCCGGACTTCCTGTGCCCGCGCGCCCTTGCCGAAATCCTGATGAGACTGTGTCCCTGTTTTTTCTTTTCTTTTTCTTTGCAGGCGTCAGAACGGAGCAGGATCTGTATGTTCGCCTCATAGATTCAATGACCAAACAGGTGAGAAAGTTTAGTGTCTGCAGTAGTTTTCAGGGCTCAGCTGGGGTCGGCCTGGGGCTCAGACTAGAGGACTGACAAATGGATCTCCTGTTTTTGTTTTTCATTTCGTTTCCCTGCCGTGCTAATGAGAATTCCGTATTTATTGGAATAAATGAACCGATTGGGAAAATAGTTTACGTTGTCATTAGAACAGAACATATATGCTTTATTAAATGGCATGTGATTGGATTCAAATTCTCTCTTAATTAATTACGGTAATTAATATTTGACGGGAAATTTTCAAGACGTCCCTCTCCGTATATTTTTCAACGTTTCTCTCCCTCCTTGGAATCAGTTCCTTGATGTTTTTCCTCTGCAGCAATGGCAGCTCGCTCCTCTCCCAAGTCCATTGACTGGGATGGGACTTGATTAGTTCATTTTTTTTCTCCTTCCCAGTGTGATGGTCTAGTAACACGAGACGTTTATTTGGATTTAAAAGTTAAATGTGTTGGGGTGAAAAGTCACCTTGTTCTGCTCTAGTCCATCTTCACCTCTCAGCCCCCCATCTCCATAATTCAAACTCCGAGCTCCAGGGGTCACCCAGACCCGGCCACGGCTCCGGGAGCAGCTCCTGCTCCCTCGCTCGCCCTCTGCCACACCTTGTAAATAACATAATTACAAGCGGTTCCTTATGAAATTATTTAACCTGTCTCGGCCAACTTTCCGATGATAACTGTCGGCTATCAGTAATGTGATTAAGTGCGGGAGGGTGCTTCCTTTTGACATTGTGCAGTCCCCTGGCTGGGCTTGTGCCGGGTGGTATGTCGTTGAGTTGTTTTAAAGATTTTTTTTTCCCTGTTTTCTTAAAATAGAGGGATGGGGGAAGGGCAGGTCCGATACATACGTAAATTAAATCCACTCGGCACAGATTGATTTAAGATATACTTTCAAGCTGGGCTTCCCTCTCAGAAATGAAAGTGGCGTCTTCGTTTCTGAGGCTAACTTTAAGAACTGGGAGCCGGAGAGAGAGCTCCATGCTTCCTGCAGCCGAGCTCGCCGGCTTCCCACTCTGCACGGCGATTCGTTTTCGGGGTTTGCTTCCCTTTAGAAAGTTTGTCTTCACCTAGGCAACAAGCGTGTTAGATTTTAATGTCTGCAGTGGTAAAACAGTGTGGTTTTCTCTCAGAGTAAAACAGATTTGACAGGTAAACCCTGCTCTTTCTGACAAAGGCAGGCGGGGTGCCCTTCGGTAATTATTTCAGCGAGATTCAGAGAAGCCTCTGGAAACCGGGCTGCTCGTCGACAGAGCGCTTTTCTTTGTATATAAGGGCTGACGTTCTGGAGAACACTAGTCTAACTGAGAGGCCGATGCGGGCAGCGCGAAGGTCCCCTGTTGTTGCATAGAGGAGGGTTCCTCTCAAGTACACTTTTATTGTTCATTTAGCCGTGGACTTTTGCGGTATAAACAGGGCTGAAAATAAAGGCATTGAATCTCCTCTCGCTGACGGGGATTGGGGGGGAAAAAAGGGAAAGAAATAGCCCAGTAACTGATCAAAGAGTCAATGGCGCTGAACCGACAGTTTATGGATTTCTGTTTGTGCTACAAAATAAAAAATAAATCAAATATAAATACGGGGCTCCTCCTCAGAAGTGCTGGCGCCCCCGCGCCGCGCGCCCCGCGGCCCCCGGC